AGAGAGACCATTCGCGAGTCGGCGACGGGAAACGACGTAACGTCCGCTCACAAACCGCATCCACCGCCGCCGTCGCCGCAACCCAACCGCGCGAACCACGAATACGCCGCCGCCGTATCTCCGGGATTTTTAAAATAGTATTTTATTRTAAAATCCCTTGACCGTAATATTTTTGTAGGTTTCACGTCAACGTATTGGATCGTATAAGCTGTTCGTCGTCGTGTTCAACGCAGTGGCAGAGTGATATCGCACACGCGTTATTGTTCGTCAACGATCTCTTGCGCGTCGGCCGTCGTCGAATCTCGACCCGTATCCGTCTTCYGGTGCGTGTCCACACAAGTGCTGTAGTCCGACGATAAACCGTCTCCGTTCGTCCTCCTCCAAACCAGGAACAGTTGATAAAACGACTTCACAGCCTTTGCCATGTCTGAAAGAGAGGAAAACGTGTACAAGGCGAAACTCGCCGAACAGGCGGAAAGATACGATGGTGAGTGCACATGGATGCGTGTAAACGTGTGCAACGTCATAATTAATGATATTATGATGTTGATATATTTTTTAAATTTCGGTACCGACGATCAAATTGATCGTTGGTAAGTTTTTCCGTCGAAATTTTCGGCCTCCCCCTCCACCGCCAAAGGCCGCCCCACGTTACTCGTTCGTTACGACCGCCCGACGCCGACGCCGCCGTCGCCTTCTACGCCTTGCGCCCAAATAATCAATACGTATAATCGGGTGCACTATACATAATAATGATACAAAATATTTATTATTACTATTATTGCCTATTACCTACTGTTATAATATTTTTAATTTTCTAGGTTAACCGCATCGCGCACCTATAATGGTGTACGTGCGTGTGTGGGCACAGTAGTAACATATTTTATCATTATTAAAATAACACTCGGCGAYGCTTTGTACCGTTATACGTCCGAGATTTCCATTGCTTATAAATATCGCGCACCATTTTTTAGTCACCGTCGCTCCAATGCGATATGGTATGGCTCGTGTGACGCGGTGACGCCACCTCGGCCGACCGTTAATCTTCTTCCCACACGGTGGAATTTCAACCGTTGTAAATTATAGCTCGTCCGTCCTGACAGCCACTGTCGGACGCCACCTCTCCACCTCGCCACCCTAATCGCCTATCATCGAAACCATAGTAGACTTTTACAACTGCCGTGATAGTCTTTGTGGGTCCCAGTAATTTCCGCATGCTCAAATTTTTTCCTAATTGTGTACAGTTATCCCGAACCTTGGTTTTTAGGCTGGTGGTATGTCTGTTCTCACCCCAAACAAAATTGTTTCACTGTGTCTTTGTAACCTTTGATTTTGATTTCGGCTTGTTGTCTGTCTTCCTGTGCTCTCACTGTATGACTTGGAAATCAAATATTTTAACAGTTCTCATAGAAAAATAACTGATTATATCGTTTAAATGCAATATGTGTTTATCTTAAAAATTGAGGAAAAGTTTATTAAAAAAATTCATTTTTGTTCATTTTTTATGATATCCTAAACAGATTAAATTTAACATTGACTTATTTTCCTTATATTTATCTAGGTACTTAATACTTGAGTATTTACCCGAATATTTATTTATTTAGTAGCAAAACATCTTGAATTACCTATTGGAAGTTTGAATGAAAAAACAGAATTAAATGTATCTACCTAATATTGTTGTTATACAAATGCAGAATGTAAATTAAAATAAATGTACCGGTACTTACCTAATTATTTTCTGAATTTTATTCAGGGAGGTTCTTTATTGACCATTTATAAATTCAATGTAATTACCTAATACAATTATTTAAATTTACTTGTCTATTTTTTTWAAATTTGAATCATCATTATTATTTCCATCACTTCAAAACATTGATTTTATATTAAACAGGTAAGCTAAAAGATCAACCATTGCATTCAACCGCTTCCATTATAAACAATATGATAGCTGTTCTGTAAATTTATAAAATCAATGATTTATAGGTGCTAAATAAGATAGGTACCATATTATATTTTAACTCGATGATAAAGTTTTACCTACTAACGAATTKTAAATATCTTATGAAAAAAAAACTTAGTGAGGACAATTTTCCTTAAACCTTAAAAGTTTGACCAATATAAAAAAAGTACKCTATAGGTAGATACCAACCTCTACTAACATAACCTCAACTAAATCAAATACAATTTATGAGAAATAACTAGATGAAGGTATGTATGATGGCTAAACTTAAATTATTTAATTTAATTTAATTGAAATATTGGCAATTTCAAATTAAGATAACTTTTTAATTTAAAGTTGGTAGGTTGAAGTATTTTTATTGTGTTATTATTTCTGAGATATTTTAATTATAGTTAGGTAATTTAAAAAAAAATTTAAGTAGGTTTTAGCTCTGTTTTTAGCAAATTTATTGTTTTATTAATGACTTAAATTGGTTATGTTACCTAATTAAAAATAAAATTGTTTCTTTCTTCTTAAATTTATTACTATACCTACTAGCAATATTTAACATTTGCTAGGTAACTATTAAAGGTCGCCACATACTGCAGTGGTGGCAGAAAAATTCTTTTGTCTTGGCAGTGCCGCCGCGATGGTGGTAAAATTGAGTCCGGCTTCATTTTGCCGCCACTGCAGTGTGTGGCAACCTTTAATTATGGAATACATTACAACTTATCAAAGTACTTATGTAGTTGTAGATATGCATTAATGTACAAGTACAAAGTAAAATATTTTAATTATGTATAGGTATTAACATTTTAGTGTCTTCTTTAGGAAATATATTTCTTAGTTTGTGTTGCTTAAAAACACCCCTACTATAGTGCTGAGAATTTATATTTTATAAATATAGTATATACACTATACACTCTGTTAAAATTGAAAAACTACCGAAAAAATAATTGAATTATTCAAAAAGTAGGATCCTACTTACCTACTATATACCTAATTATTTTTACATGGAGAATTTTATTTTAATTATATGTATGAATACTAGCTATACTATTGKATTTGAAAAATATTATATTGAGCTGTTTAAATAACTACTGTTTATATGAAATTAAGTACCTCTATTCATATAAAAAAAACAACAAGAATAGTTAGCATTTTTAATGTGTATTCACGACTGTACGAGTCATCAAGTGTATAATGTATAATGTGTATGAAATATATTTAAAATATGTTGTACAAGTAACACAACAATAACAATTTCAAAGTAACATAATATTTCCAATTATTTAATAGTTTTCTAATTTTTATTCTTAAAAAAAATAGTCAACTAATTAGTAAATACATTTAAACATTCATTTTATCGAGCATTTTAAAAACTTAAAACTTCTACCTAAATCATAGTTATGCAGTGGTCTGCCTATGATGTCAACAATAACTACCTATATTTTACAGGATTCTTATTAATAACTTTTTAGTAAACCTTGTTAATAAGTATGAGTTTTAGCTAGGTAATTAAACAATTTATTGTATTTTAAGTGTATCACATCAACAATACATATGACAATTATGTTTTAAATAATAGGTACTTAATAGTAGTATTAATTACACTGTTACATTATACTGCCCATTATACTTTAAGTTAAGTKTTCATTTTGTCTTTCGACAATTGTTTGCTAGGTATACCTACAGTTTACTTAATTATAATTTTTTTTTTTTATGTTTTAAAAGAAAAATAAGACAAAAAAATCATTGTGCATTTTTTGTATGTTGGCGCACAGAATATTTCAATATGATGTAGCTACTATATTTAGTAAATTCCTTGTTTACTGTATTCTTACTACTTTTCCTCATTTACTACTTTATTTTTAAAATGATTTAAGTAGAGAAAAAGTTATAATTACGATTTTAAAAGTTTAATCAACAAGTTAATAAAGAACCTTTTTTAAACATAAACTATCAAAAATCAATATGTTATTACTAGTACTGCCTATACCAACATCCATTTAATATAAGGTAGTTACAAAACAAGTATTTATTTTAGTACCCACCTACTTATAAAATTTTGTTATTTACAGAATTAGAAACATTGTTTAAGTAAACAAATTTATTTATCAATAAAAAAAGGTTATTATATTCAAAATTTTGAAATAGGTATATTATGATTTATGTTTAATTGTGATTAATTGTATTTCCTGTTAATTTAATGAGTTGAAAATGTAGAACATTTCTATTAATAACATATACCTACATAAAATTGTCTAGTATATTCTGTTTTGAAATTTTTTTTTATTCCTCATGTTTGTGGATTTACATGAGTTATATAACATCAATATATGAATTATAAGTTGATTGATGTTTAGAAAATAGAAATTCAAGTGTATTAATTATTAATTTATTATACATTTGTTTTGCCTGTTTGTTTTAAATCTTGTTTCTCTTAAAATAGATGAATTTAATTTACACAGCTACCTACCTATTTACTAAACTAATTAAATAAATTACTATAAAAACTTAGAAATCTAAATATTTAGATATATATGGGTGTATACCTATACTTATTGATTTGGTTGATAATGTGGATTAGTTCATACATTTCTAGGTAGGTACTTTAGTAATTTTTGTTGAAAAATATTATTTTTCTCTAGTGACAACTAATTATTTTAATTATTTGTTGATGGTAGGTAGTACCTAACTGAGAACTTAGATTTATTTTTATTTATAGGTATTCATAATTTAAATGGTTTATGAAAATTAAACAATTACCTAAAGATTAATTAGGTACTCGTGTATTTTTTAAATGTTTAAAGCAGAAACTACCGGTATCAATAGCTGATAATAACAAAATAAATTACATTCCTATCTAATATTCTAATTTGACTTAGGTAGTACATCAACAATTTAATAATTAGATTAGAATTCAGGATATATTTTTAAGCAAATTGTATTATTGAGTTCTTTGTATTGACGTTTTTAGTACCTATTGATTTAAAATATGATTAAAACAATTTTTTTTCTTGTTTTAAACATATTTAAAGTATGCTTAAACAATAACAAAAATTTAAAAAGGATTTCGCTTAAAAGTTAAAAACATAAATTAATTAATTAGTTTAAAATTATAAAAACTTTTATTTCAAACCCTGA